CTATCTATCCCCATCCACCCCCTCTATGTATCTATCCATCCCCTCCACCCCCTCATATCATATATTAATTATATTAAACCCTCTATGGAAGGGCGGATCACTTGATGGTCACCTTTTCTGTTCACTCCCTCTGGGGCACCTGGCATTGGCCACTGTCGGAAGACTGGGCTAGATGGACCTTTGGTCTGACCAATTTTGGCCGTTCTTATGTTCTTTCCCCATACACACCCATCTATCTATCCACCGCCCCACACCCATCTAGCGAGCTAGCTAATCGCTATGATACCTTCCCTCTCTTCCCACTTTTCATGAAAACAAATAAATTATCTCTGCTCGGTTGCTGACTCCTCTCACAGCTCGGGGGCACCACCAAGCTCCAGCCAGCTGTAAATTGACCCCCGTGGGCTAAACCTGTCTACGGCAGGTGATGCCGGTTGAAGTGTGTCCACACGCAAAGATGCACCCACTTAGCTAAACTGGATTTAAAATCGCCCACGTGCAGACCGGGCCTCAGGTATCCTGGGCAGTGGGTTTCTCCTGGAGGGGACGGCTAGCCCCAGGGCCTGGTAGGAATCCAGCACCCACAGAGATGCACGAGTGGCAAGAAGAAAGGGAACCCAGGAGTCCAGGCGCACCCGCAGTGGCTCATACCTGTGCTTTCCACCAGCTCCACGGTGCAGTAGCCCTGAATCCACCGGTAGCAGGGGAAGCGGTAGATGTCTCCCTCGGGGGACGTCACCCGGACCGTATTGCAGTACCACATACTCTCGGGGAACACGGAATAGGGCTCCTTGTGGAGCCGGATCAGCAAGATCGGCCCCAGGGCTCGCTCACTGGGCACCTCGTACTCCCGCACCTGGGGGAGACAGAGCAGGGGGAGGGTTCGAGCCCCGGGCACGGAGCCTGCGTTCCCGGCCACTCGGGATGGAGAGCGTTGCACGGGCAGATCTGCGGGTACAGCTCCTTCTTCGCCGTCGCTGGATCCCCAGCTGGAGTCAATGGGTGTCTCTCCATTGCAATCAATGGGGCCAGATCCTCAGCCCCTTGAAACCCAATGGGGGATCTGGCCCCATGGACGCCCATGGAGAGACGCCCACTGACACCGGCTGGGGGTTTGGCCCCCATTGACACCAGCTCTTTGGCCCGCTGAACTGTAATCCCCCATTGCCATTTCTTCCAAGTGACACAAACATGGAGAGTGTTTATTGACCAGATCCTCAGCTCGTGTAAATAATTGTGCCAGAAGCTGCCCAGACCCCGACCGAGATCAGGGCCCCGTTGTGCCAGGCGCTGCCCAGACCCTGACTGAGATCAGGTCCCCATTGTATCAGGCGCTGCCCAGACCCCGATCGAGATCAGGGCCCCGTTGGCCCCGTTGTGCCAGGCACTGTCCAGACCCTGACTGAGATCAGGTCCCCATTGTATCAGGCGCTGCCCAGACCCCGATCGAGATCAGGGCCCCGTTGGCCCCGTTGTGCCAGGCGCTGTCCAGACCCCGACCTAGATCAGGGCCCCATTGTCCCAGGCGCTGCCCAGACCCTGACTGAGATCAGGGCCCCATTGTACCAGGCGCTGCCCAGACCTACAAGTAGAGACCATCCCAGGCCTAGACCCCCAGTGCTAGGTGAGGGTGCAGCCCGAAGACCACAGCTGGTACAGTTCAGCCTTGCGGGCCGCTGACGCTCCCGTGGAAATCCCCAGCATCCAGGCTGCAGCCCCCCTCACTCTCCCCACTGCGGGGCAGGGGTCCGAGGAAGGGCTGGGGCCTCCCCTCCCAGCGCACAGCACTGGGATTCCATCTGGAGCTCCCACCCCGCCCCGTCAGGCTGGCATGAGGGCACCCCAGCACTGCCTCCCCCCCGGCTCCCGGCAGCTGCATGTGAGTGAGTCAGCCTGGTCTGGCTTGGCGTCAACCAGGCTCCGATGGAGACGGGAGATCCCGCTCCTCTCGTTTGAGGACTCGAGCGCCACCTGAACCCAAAGGCAGGGTCATTCTCTCCCATTGTACCCCCGGGGAAACTGAGGCACGACCGCTGGCCTCTGGGGGCAGAGCCATAAATAGAACCCAGGGGTCCTGAGCCCCAACCAGGCCCTCAAACTATTGCTCCTCTCTTCCTGAATGGATCTCCGCCCCTGCCCCCCCGCAGAAGGAACCCCATAAAATACTCACTGATCCCGGCTGAAAGTCCAACCCGTATCGGTCCAGCACATGCTTGGGACTTTCCCCGTCGATGCCCACCAGGGTGATGGAGATGGTGTCAAAAGTGCCAGCCAGGGAGCCCTGGCCGGTGGACACCTGGACTTTGTAGACGGCCATCAGGGATGGGCTGGGGGCCGGGCTGCTCCCAGGCAATGAGGGGGCTCCTGGCTCCAAGGGGCGGATAGTCTGGGGAGCCCGTCCCGACGGTGGAGCTGGGAGTTCTCGCTCGCGGGGAGCTGGCTGGGTGACCTCTGCTTATTCACCGGCTGCCTTCGGACGGAGGCCAAGCGGGAGTGGAGGAGGCGGGGAATGCAGCGCCCCCAGGCTGAGCCCCGCCTGGCTCTTCCACATCACTCCACACCTCGCTGCACCCGTGATGAGGGCCATGCCCTGAGCACAGCGGGTGGGCGGGGCCAGCTGGCACACGGCAGTGCCCAGAGAGCTTCCATGGGGCGCTCCAGAGCCTAGGGCTTGCCACAGACTGGGGGATGGATCGATAGAGTCATACAAGCCGGGGGGGCCGGGGGGGTCTGATCTCAGCTGGGGTCTGGGCAGCACCTGGCACGACGGGGCCCTGATCTCGGTCCGGGGGTTGCCAACTTTCTAATCCCGCAAAACCGAACACCCTAGCCCTGCCCTGGCCCTGAGGCCCCGCCCCCTGCCCCACCCCTTCCAGGGGCCCTGCCCCCCCCCCCCCACTCACTACATTCTCCGTTCCTCAGTGGCTCTCTCTCCCTCACTCACTTTCACTGGGCTGGGGCAGGGGGTTGGGGTGCGGGAGGGGGTGAGGGCTCTGGCTGGGGGTGCAGGCTCTGGGGTGGGCCTGGGGATGAGGGGATTGGGGTGCAGCAGAGGGCTCTAGGCTGGGGGGTGTGACAGAGGGGTTCAGGGTGTGGGAGGGGGCTGTGGGCTGAGGAAGGGGGTTGGGGTGCAGGGGGAGTGAGGGCTCCAGCTGGGGGTGCAGGCTCCAGGATGGGCCCGGGCATGAGGGGATTCGGGTGCAGGAGGAGGCTCCAGGTTTTGGGGGGCTAAGGGCTGGGCAGGGGTTGTGGCTCAGGGTTGGTCTTACCTCTGGTGGCTCCCGGTCCGCGTCGCAGAGGGGCTAAGGCAGCCTAGTCCCTACATGTCCTGGCACCGCAGGTCCGGCTCTAGGCGGGGAGGCCAGGAGGATCCGTGCACTGCTCTCTCCTGCAGCCACTGCCCCACCAGCTCCCATTAGCTGTGGTTCCCAGCCAATAGGAGTATGGAGCTGGTGCTCAGGGTGGGGGCAGCGCATGGAGCCCCCGGTCCCCCCGCCTAGGAGCCGGACCAGCTGGCTGTTCCCGAGCGCAGCGCGGTGCCAGGACACGTAGGGACTAGCCTGCCTTAGCCCCACTGCAACGCTGACCGGACTTTTAACGGCCTGGTCAGCCATGCTGACTGGAGCCGCCAGGATCCCTTCTCGACCCACTGTTCCGGTCGAAAATCGGACACCTGGCAACCCTCCATGGGTCTGGGCAGTGCCCCCTGCCTCCCAACCCTGCTCCCCAACCCTCCTGCTCCCCCATCCCTGCCCCCCATCCCCCATCCCCTCTGTTCCCCCATCCCTGCTCCTCAAACCCCATCCCCGCTACCCCCATCCCTGCCCCCCAGCCCCCATCTCCGCTACCCCCATCCTTGTCCCCCAACCCCCATCCCCTCTGTTTCCCCATCCCTGCCCCCCAGCCCCTCTGTTCCCCATTCCCTGCCCTTCAACCCCCATCCCCTCTGTTCCCCCATCCCCGCTCCCCAACCCTGCCCTCCAAACCCCATAGCATCATTGAAGCGTAGGCCTGGAAGGGACGTCACTAGGTCATCTGGTCCTGTTCCCTGCGCTCAAGGCAGGGCCAAACACCGTAATAACAAACCATCCCTGCTCCCCAACCCCCTGCAGCACCCCACCCTTGCTCCCCAGCCAGCCCCCTGCCGAACAGTCGTCACCAGAGCGGGACAGGTCGGTCCAGTTGTGCACTGTGGCTGCACGTCTGTCCTGCAGTGGTTGCTCCGGCCTCTCCCCAGAGGCAGACGCTTCTTTCTTGTCGTAATAACAGACCTGGTGCCCAGTGGTTGTGTGACCTGGGCCCTGTTGCTCAATGCTCCCCTGGACTGAGCTCTGATGCCAAGGTGATGGGCGTGGAAGAAACACCTACAAATAGACAGGAAGAGCGGGTTTGGGGAGCAGGGATGAGGGTGGAGGGGGAAGGAAGGGGGTGCAGGAGAGAAAAACGGGGGTGCTGTGGGTTGTGGAACAGGGCTAGGGTGCAGGGATGGGTTTGGGGAGCAGGGGAGAAGGAAGGCGGTGTTGTGGCTTTGGGGAGCAGGGATGAGGTTGGAAGGCGAAAGAAGGGGCCCAGGGGTTTGGGGAGCAGGGGAGAAGAAACGGGGTGTAGTGGGTTGGGGGGCAGGGTTGGGGGGCAGGGGTTTGGGGAGCAGGGATGGATTTGGAGGGGGAAGAAAGGGGGTGCAGGGGTTTGGGGATCAGGGAAGAAGAAAGGGGGTAAAAGGTTTATTGGAGGACAGGAACACGGTCCAAAACCAGGGCCCCCTCAGTCAGGTCCACCTTGGGGAGTGGGGAGCCCAGACCCCGGCCCTGGGTCTCCCTCTGTTTCCCCAGCCAGCTCCAAACTGAAACTCTCCAGCCCCTCCTCTGGCCTTTGTCTCTTTCCTGAGCCAGGAGGCCACCTGATCTCTTTGTTCTCCAGCCCCTTCAATTGGCACCTTCCAGGAGAGGGGCCCAGGCCATCGGTTGCCAGGAGACAAGAGTGTCAGCCATTCTCTGTGCAGACAGCATCACACCTGCCCTCTCGGGCTCTGCAACAATCACACCCCCTTATCCCACCACCTAGATACTTATGTAATGCATAGGGGAAACTGAGGCACCCCCACAATATTCAGAGGCACCCCCACAATATTCAACATTAAGAACAGTCCCGCTTCGCCACATCTCTCCCCCCCTTCAAGACCGAACTGAGCGGGGTCACTTTAGCCGGTGACCTGGGGAAGTTCGACCCCACCAACGTTCCCATGGATGCCCCAGCATCTCTCCCGTTCCTTGGTGGGGCTTACACCAGGCCCTTCCTGTTTCACGCCCTCCCTTAGGTCGGCTGTGCCTGACGGCACTCGCAGGCCGCATGTGGGGAGGTTTATGCGGCCCGTGCCCTTTTTGCCACCCCCGGGGTTCAAACTGGGATCAGGTCTTCTCCCAGCGCCCCAGTCTGGAGGGCTGCAATTCAGGCTCTCTGGGTTAAGAGCCCCCCTCTTCACCATGGCCACCCTCTGGCCACGTGTCTCTGTCACCCGCGGCATCAGCCCCTTTCATTGGATGCAGCCACATAGGGGCAGGGGGGTCAGGATACACAGTAAAGAGTCGCCCCAATGGATACGGCTGCAGCTTCTTAAGGGCCTGCCCCATGGCCAGGCATTTCTTCTCTCCGTTCGCATGGCTCTGCTCCCGGGGCAGCAGCTTCTTGCTCGGGTACCCGGCTTAGCATCGGCCTGCATCAGCACCGTGCCCAGCCCTGCATCGGAAGTGTCAGTGAACACTGAAAAGGGCTTGCACGGTCCGGGTTTACCAGATTTACCGGGCCCTGGATTAGAGCCTCCTTCAGCGCCCGGAAAGCCTCCTGGCACTGCTCGGTCCAGACCACCTCGTCTGGCTTCCCCTTCTTACATAGCTCAGTGATGGGGGCAGCTAGGGAGCTGAAGTGGGGTACAAACCCCTAGTAGTACCCTGCCATCCCGATAAAGGCCTGGACCTGTTTCTTGGTCTGGGGAAAGGGCCAGTCTCTGATCCTCTCCACCTTGGCCAGCTCTGGGCTTGGGCAGCCGCCTCCCCTGGGGATGCCCAGGTACGACACCTCTGCCATCCCCACCTTACACCTTCCAGCTTTTACCATCAGTCCTGCCTCCTTCAGGCCCCTCTTCACCTGGGACACGTGTTCCTCCCAGGTCTGGCTAAAGACCCAGATGTCATCAATGGACGCCACGGCCAAGTTCTCCATCCCCACCAGTAACCGATCTACCCGGCGCTGGGAGGTGGCCGATGCCCCCTTGGGCTCGAAAGGCAGGACTGGGAACTCACAGAGCCCCAAAGGGCTGGTGAAGGCAGATTTCAACCTGGCATCTGGGTCCAAAGGCACCTACCAGTCGCCCTTGATGAGATCCCTAGTAGAGAGGTAATGAGCCCCCCCAAAGCTCGTCTAGAATCTCACCAGGCCTAGGCCTGGGGTAGGCATCGGACACGGTGATGGCATTAAGCTTCCGATAGTCCCCACAGAACCAGATTGACCCGTCTTTCTTGGGGACCCACCCCACGGGTGAAGCTCATCGGGTGTTGAACGGCTGGATCACCTCTAAAACCAGCATGTCCTTGACCTCTCTCTCCAGGCTCTGGGCTGTTTTCCCAGTGACTCTGAACGGGGGACACCTGATGGGAGCACTGGCTCCCACCTCAGGGGAGAGATCCACCAGGGGGTCTTCCCACTTCTCCTCCTGACTGGCCCTTACCAGGTCCAGGGGTCCCCTAACTCTCCTCCCATCCAGCAGCTTGAAAGGGAAAAACCTGGTGGATTCCTGGGGCATGTCCCCGTACCGCAAGTGGGGCAGGTCCTTGTTCCCATCCTGCAGATGCTGATTCATAAAAGTCCTCTGCATCATCCCCAGGGCCCCATAAACTCTCTCCACCAGCCCGTGGGACAGAGGGTGACACGCCGAGGCCCAGGTGGGCCAGACCCCCCATTTCTCCCACCAGCCCCGTAGCAGGGCTGACAGGACAGTGGACTCCTGGTCTGTAAGGACCTCGCTGGGGACCCCCTGCCATGGCGTCTGCCTCGGTGAAGGACAGAGCACTCGCCTCTGGGTAGCGAGATCCATCGCCACAAGGACGTATTTCTTCCCCAACCGGGTCGCCTTGCTGAGGGGCCCCATAATCAGGGCCGGTGCAACCACTAGGCGAACGAGGGCGCCAAGTGGTTGCGGGGGGCTGTCCCGGCGTCCCCGGGCGATGCTCTGGACCTGCTCCCGACGAAGCCAGTCAGGATTCTGGGGAAGTCTCCTCTCTGGGAGCAGACTGTCTGCAGGACACCCAGCTCACCCGGCTTCCACCTTCCTGGGTCTGACCTCGGAGCATTCAGCATCCTCTGCCCCTCCGTGCGCTTCCCCCAGCGAGTCTGCCCAGGCGGGGTCCTGGGGAAGCCAGAGGGTCCTGCACCCCAACTTTGCAGTCAGAAATGACTCTCAGCCAGCCAGTAAAAGAGAGGTTTATCAGACGACAGGAACATGGT